GTACCGATTCGTATCAGAGAATTCGGTATACAGAAACTTCCACAGCTAGCACGCTTTTCCCTTCTCAGAAATGGGCGGTTACGACAATCAGGGACCCCTAATAATGACCCCTAAATTCTAGGATCCCCTTATACTAAGGAACCCAATCAGGTACCCCAAATCGTAAACCCCCAACTGACATGTCACCCTAAACCCGAAACCCTACACCCTAAACCCTAAACCCTACACCCCACGTCGCCTGAGCGTCCCTTTTTTGCTCTTTGAGAGGCCTCGCTTTCGCCACCGTTCTACTGGTGGCCGTGGGCTGCGGAAGCTTGATCTGCCGATTGCACAGTCCTCGGGGCGCTGTGCTTGTGAAAGGAACTCAAAGGTTTAGGGTTTCGGGTTTAGGGTTTAGGGTTTAGGGTGTAGGAAAATAAGGGGACCCTTTATATAGACCCCCGAAGAGCAGGATTCCCTAATAGTAAGGACCCCAAATCAGGTACCCCCGAATATCATAAACCCCCAAATGGCTCCAAATCCGGAAGAAGGGGTCCAGGTAGCCTGTTTAGGGTCAACCCGCAGCCCGAAAAGTCTATAGACCCTGATCGCTGCGCAAGTATACCCTCAGGGCCCCAATGCTTCCCAAAAGCTCTGGGGGTTTGGACTCAGGGAATAGGTACCCACAGGAACATGCTTAACGTCATATTCGGAATTAAGTCTCACAGATTAGGATGCCTTGTTTTTGGGTTGTATCCGGAATTAGGGAGTACGGGGCACTCTGGGCGTCTGCTTGCCGAGGATGTGCCTCACTTCGTCCAGGTCCAGGGTTCGGGTGCAGGCTTTGGCTTGTTTTTTCGGGTTTAGCGGGTGTTTGGTTTGAGGCCCTCAGGTCTCAACCCCAGTCCGAAACTCTCGGTTACCATCAAACGACCCAAGGCCCTAAAAGCCTTCAACCCTCATTTCTTAAACGATATCTCTGGGGAAACACATTTTGCCCCTCGATATCTAGCAGCTAGTCAATCTTCTGTCATTGGTGCCCGTGAGAGACCAACTGGGCCAGAAAAGAAAACCCTAAACCTTAAACCCTAAACCTGTCCGAGGCAGTCAGCGCCTGAACAGCCAACCAGCGAGCCCTCGAAGAAGAAGGTGAAGTCTGCAGGCCGAGACGGTGTTTAGGGTTTAGGGTCTCTCTAAAGGCTTACCGCTGATATTCTGGCGGGCGGCACGGGGTTTGGAGGGTTTTGGGGTTTAGGGCTTTTGGGGTTTCTAGGGTTTCAGGGTCGTCAGGGGTTTAGGGCGTTTTGGGGCTTCCGGGTGGAGATGGAGAGTTTAGGGCCCTAACCCTAAACCCTAAACCCTAAACCCTAAACCCTAAACCCTTCTTGAAGCCAGAATCGGCGGTGAAGGGTGCGGAGCTTCGGCTTAGAGGGCCTAGGCTTTGAATGAAGCTTGCAGTTCGCAAGGGCTTAGGATGATTTAGGGAATTCAAGGTGCAGGGTTTGGGCCTTTAAGGCGCAGGGTCTTTCAGAGCTAAATTCGCTCAGGGCTTTATATAGGGGCATATGGCTCAGTGTAGAGGTTCAGGGCTTCGGGTTTTGAGGTTCCAAGCAGGCCCTTACATAGCCTGGCTGTTTTCCTAAACCTTACCTATAGCTTGTGCTTTCTTTTGGTTTTGCTTCGTGGGGTTGAAAAATCCTGACATCTACGCCTGACTGAGCCCTCTATGGGAGTGTCGCTTAGGGTGCCTAAACCCTAAGCCCTGAACCCTGAACTCTGAACCCTGAACCCTGAACCCTGAACCCTGAACCCTGAACCCTACCTCCTAACCCTGAACCCTGAACCCCTACTTAGAGACTCAAAAACCCAGGAAAACAGGTAGGTCGCTTGCGAGAACCAGGGTTTGGGGAGAGGAGCGTTCCCGAAAGAAGGGTTTTGCACGATGGGTTGTTAAGGGTTTCCGACAGGTATTTACGGGCTTCCGACGGGTTGATTGCGGGTTCCCAAGAGCTGCAGAATTGTAGAACCAGGTTATCGGTTATCCTTGAGAAACCCGGCTTTGAAAACTTTGGCCTCCAAACCAGGTTTCCGCGGTTTAGGGTTAAGGGTTTAGGGTTTAGGGTTTAGGGTTTAGGGTTTAGGGTTTAGGGTTTAGGGCTTTTTCTTAGGTTCTTGGTTCTCTAGGTAAGCCTTCGGTGGAAGGGGAGGGGGCGCAGGCCACTCGAATGCCTCAGATCACGAGGGCAGGCGCCCCTGGTTCCGCTGGCGCTGGCGGAGAAACACCACGGAGGCCTCGTGGGGGGTGTCAAAAAGGGTTTAGGGTTTAGGGTTTAGGGTTTAGGGTTTAGGGTTTAGGGTTGTTGGGTGTTTGGGCTTTACAGGGCTTAATAAGGGTGGCTTTATAGGACTCAGGGAGTGACCTCGGGAGAAGCCTTCTTAAGGAAAACGTGTCCCTGTCTTTGGGCATATTAGGTTACTCGAGGTAGGCTTTTTTGGTTTGGGCATTGTGATCCCACAGCCCTACTTGTAAGATCATGGGTGGCAAGAAAGAAGATAAGCGTGCAAGTACTCGGTTTTCGGGTTTAGCCCACCTTCTTCCTCCTCTCTCCATCATCATCAGATAGGGTAAGTGTGTTGGGCTACTATTCTGTCCCTATTGGTGTTTTACTAAACCCTAACCTGTCAACCCCAAACCCTTTACCAGAAACGCTACATCATCCATAACCCCCCTTCAAAGCCCTTTCGCTTGGTGAGTGGCAGGTGCCCCCAGAGGTGCTCTTGCACCTTTCCTTGCAAGCTGCCGGGTTCAGGGTTGGGTTTACGGTTTAGGGTTTAGGGTTTGTTTAGGGCCAGGCGAGTCGAGAGTTTATTGTGCTTGATGTGTCCAGCGTATGGGGGTGGGCGTAGAGATGAGATGGTTTTAGGCCCGTGTGTTTTGTTGTTTGGGAGCCCGGGGGGGGGGGGGGGGGGGGGGGGGGGGAGGGCCTTCAGGTTTCAAGATGTTGGTTCTTGGGCTTGGGTTTTGGGGCTCAGGGCAAGGTTTTGACTGGAGAGGTGCACCGGGAGAAGGAGACACTTCGCATGCATCGTCAGCGCGAGCGCGTTCGACTTTGATCCTTAACCAAAAAGCAACGATCCAAGTCACCTCTTCACAGAAATATGAGCGGACCATTCGCGTTCCCACGAACCCCAACAGCTACCGTACCGACACCCTCTGAGGCAGCTCGACGTGCAGGGGCAGGGACCTGAGTGCAACCATGGGCGCGGGAGGAGCCCGGGGGGTTTAGCTTGTTGCCACCCCGTAGGATTTCTGACGAATAGAGTCCCTCTATCGCTTTGCGCTAAGACATTGCCAACAAAAACGCCTTAAACCCCAAACCCTGGACCCCTAAACACAAAAAAGTGGGGCAACACAACGGGGTTCCAACCTTAAGAATACTTTCAGGCACCGGGTCGAGGTGACAAAGCTCTGGGTGTAGAGTTTAGGATTGAGGGCTTTAGGGTTCTAATTTGCAACCTCCAGGCACTGTGCCTTCCGCGGTCCAAATCGCACTCCACCCCCCCCCCCCTTTCAAGGGTCCCTCTTTGCGTGTCTCATGGAATGCTTTTGGCGTGCTCTTAGAGTCTTGGTAGCCCAGCGGTGCCCTAGGTTACCCTTGTTATCATATAGATACTGGGCCACCAAGGGGTGGTCTTGGGGTACGCTTGAAGTGATACTTGTATTGGTCCTACACTTTGTTTTGGAATCTACGCTGAGGCATGGTCAATGCCACAATCACAATCCATAGCAGTAAGCCTATTTGTTGAAGGTATGGCATCTTGCGGTCACCGGCCATGCTCGACATCAACGGAGGTCCTTGTAGAACCCCAGATGCCCAAACATCGTCCTGACCCCGCCGGAGCCCTACTCCTCATCACACCCTGAACACCTTGGAGGAAAACAGCGTCCTAGTTAGCACGAATGAATGAATGAAGGCATATTCCGAACGAATATACCTTTTGTTGCAGGAAAGATGGGGTATTCTCCAAAATATGGACACCTTGTGGGGTCCTGAAAAAAAGCAACCCCTAATATTTCGGGTACCCAAAAGGGGATGATCATTTTGAGAACTCGCCATATTCGGTTACTCAAGGTACGCCCGCAAAGAACTCCAAAGCCCTGAGCCGTTCCCGAGGCTGCCCAACACGGAGATGGCAAAGAAACCATCCCCGCCCAAGGCTCCGACATGGGGGGCGGGGGAGAGACTTCAGGGTTTAGGGTTTCAGGGCCCCTGAACCCTACAGGACGTATAAGCATAGAACCCGAGAACTTAGCCCTAAACCCTCAATGCTAAACCTTGGCCTTTGTTGAGGCTTTTAGGCCTTTGGGTCTTTTGGGTTAACATTTTGGGCGGTTCGGGACGTCTGTTCTCAAAGGCCCACTTACAAATTGACTTTTGGAACAACCCATATGACTAGCAGCTGTTGCTTGTCGCGCGTGCTATGGAGTCGACAGGTGATCCGCATCCTTCAGTATCATTCTCTCTCCGGGGCTGCGATGTGTGTAGGGACTTGGACATGGAATGGGGTGGCAAACCTCAACACAGGGGGTTAGGTGCAGGGTCTGGCTTCTTTTTGTCTTTCAGGGTCTAGCAAAGGCGGAGATAGCCCGAAGCCCTAAGCTTTATGCTGGCGGATTGAGCCCTAAACTCTAAAACCTAAACTGAGCTCCGGGGCCTGAAGACGGAAAGTTCTTCTTGGCGCCGAGATTGAGGTGTCTACGGGGGGAAGAGGCTGAGAATTGGTTCGGGGTTTACGATTTTGGGGTCTAAGGTTTCGGGCTTCAGCTTGCTCATGCATGGAGGCTCGAGCCTTGGCGTCGCGTGAACGAATGATGACTTGTATGAGCATTGGGTATAAGGATGCTGTGAGTACCGCGTGCGAGGGTGAAGTGTCTTTCGTGTTAGGCCTTTGACTGTGTGACTTCACTAGTGATTCGTGGACGTAGGTCAAGAGTCGAGACTTGCCCTGTACATATCGAGATGTTGTCAATGTCTATCCATATCGGGTTGCTGAGCGGGCATGCCTGCATTGTGGAGATCAGCTCGGGCGAGTCTGTGGCGGAGCTCAGACGGAAGGCGCAACGCCAGCTGAGAAACGGAGTCAGTGCTCTTGTGGATGCCTCCGGAAGGATGTTGAAGGAGCACGAATCCATCAGCGAGACCGGCCTCTCCGATGGTTGCAGAGTCACTGCTACCATAAGCCACATCAAGCTGATGGGCACCAGATTGTGCAAGGAGTTTGCTTTGATCCGCCCGGACGGGACAGTGCTCACCTGGGGGGCCACACTCGGGCAAAAAAAACACAAGCCCCTACACGAAGTACAGCATGTCGCTGCTTCAATTGGGGCATTTGCGGCAGTGCAGGCAGATGGCAGCGTCATCTCCTGGGGGGAGCCTTGGGCCGGCAGTGACAGCTCTTCCGTCCAGGGGCAGCTGCAACACGCGAGGACGGTGAGCGCCGCAAGCGCTGCGTTTGCTGCTGTCACCAACACCGGCACAGTCGTAACTTGGGGTGCGAAGAGTGCAGGGGGTGATAGCCAGTCCGTCGCGCAACAGCTGACAGGCGTGGTGGAAGTTGTGTCATCGTGGTCGGCCTTTGCTGCAATACGAGACGACGGCTCTGTGGTGACTTGGGGTGATGAATATCGCGGTGGGGATATCCGGCCAGTGCAGAACGAGCTGCGGAACGTGCGTCACGTGGCAGCCACCGCGATGTCCTTTGCAGCACTTCGTCAGGATGGCTGCGTGGTGACCTGGGGTGAGGAATGGTCTGGTGGTGATAGCTCGGAGGTCGCAGCTGACCTCGTACGTATACGAGCCATCGTAGCGTCACATCGAGCTTTTGCTGCGATCACGGCGGAGGGCAAGGTTGTGACCTGGGGAGATGTGGACAGTGGCGGGTGTTGCAGCCGTGTTGAGCATCGGCTACACTCCGTGCGCCAAGTTTGCGCGACGGACAAGGCGTTTGCTGCCGTGCGCGAGGACGGTCAAGTCGTCTCCTGGGGGCACGCTGCATGTGGTGGCTGTAGCTCGCAAGTTCAGTCGCAGCTACAGAATGTTACACAAATTGCAGCTTCCAGGTTCGCTTTTGCAGCTTTGCGCTCCGATGGAACAGTTGTTACCTGGGGTAATCCACGTTTCGGCGGCGATAGCAGCCTGCTGCAAACTTGTCTTACTGACGTGCTGGAAGTACATGCGGCTCAGTCGACCGGAGGCAATTCAGTGTACTACAAGCAGCTGAAAGCTCTAGCAAGACGCGGTGAGTGCGTGATGTGATGGGCATATACCCGATACAGTTGCCGTTGTCGGTAGGCAAATGTCGTAGCTAGTGGGTGCAGGTTCATGTGGCAAGCATGTCTTATGTGGCTGACTAGCATCCGTTCATATCTGCACCGCCACATGGAGCAGTTGAGAGAGTTGAGATGCAAGCAGCCAGCTGAGGTGCGCATTCTCCGCCCTGTTGGCAGATGGAGATGTCATCACCTGGGGGGAGCTTCGGCATGGTGAAGATGTCGTGGAATACCGCTGGCAGAGTCTAAAGGATGTACATAGTCTTCAGGTGGTTCCAGCTTTGCTGCTGCCTTAGTCCGAAAGGCAAAGACCACTCATTGCTTCGAAGGAAAAATGTGTGCGTCGATTTTGACCACTTCAAGATGCAAAGCCAATGTGGACTGCCAAGCAATCGCCTCTTCCGAAGCCTATCCAAGAGATGTCACTGATGCCACACACTGAAGACCGCAGAAGCGTTCCTCTCGATCCTCGACATAACTCCGGTGCCCCGCTGGCGTACGCCATTTCCAGTCAAACTGATGACATGACGATAAGCCATCCTGAACAGCTCATCAAGTCTTAGGGTCTTCAACTGGAGATTCCATGAGACCCAACACAGCCCCTGGCCTGGTTTAAAGTCGGAGCCCGCAGAACATGCCGGGAAAACCCAACACCTCATGCATTGAGGATTCGTGGTCATAGCATTCCCTCCCCTGTAGGATGTAAAACATCCCTTGCTAGGCTGGCCTACAGAACGTCAGCATCAAACTGCCTCTGCCGAACGCCACACGGCCACCGCGGTGGCTGCGCACCTGGTCTGGCACATGACCTCCAGGGTTCGTACCTGTCCTTGTGTGAGGCTTAGGGCACCTTGGGGGCCATGTTCCGGTGTCAAGGCGGCCTAATCTTCGTGATCCATCCTCCCCAGCAGGACCAACTGGACCAATTCGATGACTGGTGCGTGCACTTGTGCGCTGGAGGTTGAGTTGAAGGGAAAGGGGGCATGAATTCTTTGAACCTAAAGATCTTGAGCTTGACACGGTGAGGTCGCCGACACAAGCAGCATGTACCGGCAAACGAGCTTCTTGGCCGTGCTTGGAGCGATTCGGGGTTGCTTAGTTTCTTAAGCTTCAGGGAGGTTATTTGGACCCTTGTCTGAATCTGCTCTTTGTAGAAGACTTTTGGAGTTTGTGAGTTCCGACGATATAGGCGGGCGGTATATACAAGGGCCCCCAGGCATGCATAAGAGAGCCTTTCAAACCTAAACCCTCACTCAGACTGGACTGAGTCATGGAGTTTCTGTGCTCTTGAGGCTTTATGCCTAGGACCAGCGATGCCCCTTCTCGCGTACTTGGGGGCTATATTCCCAGGCTGCCGGGGAATCTAATGCAGAAGCCTCAAGAACTATCTTCCTGAGAAGACCCATACGAACTGATAGGAACCTCCCCAAATACTCGTTTTTTTCTTTTTTTTATCAAGTGGGTTTCCAACCGTTTCTAGCCCCAAACCCAGCCCTAATCCCTACATTGGCCCCTATACTAGATGTCAGGTCACACACGGTCACAGCTCAAGCATCCTCCGCAGTTCTTGGTGCTCGGCCGACTAGAACCAAGAATCTACCCGAACTCATATTCAAGCTGTGTTAGGATGACATCTCTCTATCCATCTAGAGAGAAGATTTTGTATTATAAAATATTATATATACAGAAGGACCCATAATTAAGGGCACAGACTAGGGGCTCATAATACCATAAACCCTACACCCTAAACCCTAAACCCTAAATCTTGCACCCTAAACCCTAAACCCTAAAACCTACGCTTGCGAACCCCAAAGCCACCAGGAGCTCGAGGAGTTCCCACGCAGGCTCCCGAGCAACCTCTGCGATTATGCTGCTCGGAGCGATGCTCAGGTCTGAAGGTCTTACTTAAGGTCTTAGGGGTTTCGGATTTAGGGTTTAGGGCTTCGGGTTTAGGGTGTAGGGGTTTGGGGTTTAGGGTTTAGGGGTTTAGGGGTTTAGGGGTTTAGGGGTTTAGGGGTTTAGGGGTTTAGGGGTTTAGGGGTTTAGGGGTTTAGGGGTTTAGCGGTGTAAGGGTTTAGGGGTTTAGGGGTTTAGGGGTTTAGGGGTTTAGGGTTTATAGGGTTTAGGGTTTAGGGGTATAGGGGTGTCGGGGTTTAAGGTCTGGGGTTTAAAGGGGTTTGGAGGTTGGCAAGTTTAGGGATCCACCCTGGGGGTTTGGGTTGAAAGGGGTTTGGGATTTATTTTTTTGGCAAGGTTTAGGGATTGTATCTGGGGGACTATGATTCAGCGTGCTTTGCAATTACTTGGAAGTGGCTTCAAACATCCCAATATGATGCCCCTCACCCTAGAACCAGCTCTTGCAACTCTAGCTTCCCTACTTATGACCCCAACTTCTGCTTCCCAACCCCAGTATGGGTTGGGGTGGTGTAGGGTTTAGAGGTTTAGGGTTTTGGGTTTAGGGTTTAGGGGTTAGGGTTTTGTGTTCAGTGGCTCAGGATTTCCTGGTCTTGGGGTATGCTCTAATTGCAGGATTTCCCTGAGGCCTTAAACCCTCAACCCCCAAGCTTTAACTCCTGAACCTAAACCTCTACACGATAAATCCTGAACCCTTTATAAACCCTTTAAAGCCTTAGAACCCTTTAAACCCTTAAGACACTTGAAACCCTTCAAACCCTTTAACACACTTCAAACCCCTCAAACGCTTAGAACCCTTTGCTCCTTTTAGGCCCCAAACACACAGACCCCTAAACCCTAAACCCTAAACCCTAAACCCTAAAAACACCCTAAACCCTGAACCCCAAAAAGGCAAAGCACCGTAGACTACTGGATCGACTGGTGGGGCCGATGGGCTGAGCGCTTGGGCTTACGCGAAGAGCTGATGAAGGAGCTCACCACAAAAGGGAGAGGGGTGTAGGGGTGGGGGGGGGGGGGGCGGGGGGGTGGGGGGGATGTAGGATTTAGGGCTTGCGCTTTCGGATGCAGGGTTATTTAGCGTATGAAAGTATAGTATAAGGACAGACGTCAACAGGGTCTATGGGTGTAATTGGGTATAGGGATTTGAAACGCACTATAAAGCGTACCCCAACCTCTAAAAGTGGAACCACCCAGAAGCCTAGCCTTAAAAGTCTAAACCCATATCTTAGTTGACATCTTTCAAGCGCATCAGGCTTTGAAAGGCTGAGCCTCCGTGTGAGTGGTCTTAGAGTTTCGGGTTGAGGGCTTTGATGCGGCAATATGTAGATAGTTCTTTGAAGTAGGGTCCGTTTTTGAGTCCCCTACCTAATACGGCACCCTTATAACAAGGACCCCCAAAAGTGACCCTAATTTAGAGAACTACCCATGTGCTGCTGCTCTTAGCTCGCCTTTTTTTGAGAGTAGGTTTTGCCTTGCTGCCTTCCAAAATTGGACTATTTGGTGGACAACCTTGTGTATGTGAATGCGGGGGGTTTACGAAAATAAGGGACCCCCAATATAGACCCCAATTACTAGCATTCCCTTCATAATAAGGAGTCCAAGCCCATATATCACTTTCTCAAGCTACCTATGTATCTGAGTCTGTTTGTGAGAACTGTTTGTATACCTGTCAACCTACCAAATTGGGCTATCCATCTGTCTACCTGTCCATGTGCGTATCTATCTGCTGTGCATAGTTGGGTGTTTGTCGAACTGTGTGCGCATGCCTGTATGTAATGGATGTACTGTATGTGTTGGGTACATGTTATGTCGTTAATATTACGTATGTCAGCATGGCACGTCGGGGCACATGCACGCATGAAATGTAACGCAATGTAACGAAGCGTCATGCAGTGCAATGGCGCATCAGTGTACTGTGGTTAAGATTGCGCAATCGTGTCACAGCGTCACAGTGCCCTCGTCAGGCCCTCGTGCAAGGTATGGTAGAACAATCTATTGTTCATATAGTATCTACGCAGGCAGACGTAAACCTTGACCCTGCTCCTTTGTTTTTTTTGCTTTTTTTAAATACAGGGAGGAGCTCTGAGGATCAAGATCTCAGGGCGACTGCCACTACTGCGGTGTATGTCTTTGTGCAGAAAGCAATGCGGCTTAGCCTTGGACCACAAAGGCTGCTTTTTTGTTGCATTTTGTGCTGGTTTTGCATCCTTGCAGGTGCAGTAAGGAATGTTGCCTGTGCATAACTCTGTTGCTGGAGTATTTGATTCCAAGTCCTGCTTTTCCTGGCTAGCTTAGGCGTTTTATTGCGCTCGTTACTCGCAGGGTGCGGCCCACTTTGACTCAACAACGTGTAGCTGCAGTCTGTGGCACCCGGCCGCCAGAGACTGACAGATCAAGTGTCCAACGAGCGCGCTATGAGACCCCGAAGCCCTCAACTCTATCAAGCCCTGGGCACCGACCCTTGGACGCCCTAGACCCTCCAAGCCCCACTCGCTCCCGAAGCACTGGAGTTTAGGGCTCGTACAGGGCTTTGGGTTTAAACGCAGGTCATCAACCCTAAACCCTTCAGTAAAAACCCTTGAAGGGCCCACCCTAAACCCTAAACCCTAAACCCTAAACCCTAAACCCTAAACCCTAAACCCTGAGTAGTTCTTAATTCTTCACGGAGGACCCTGTGGTCGATCTCCTCCGGTCTGCTGTGCCAACGGAAGAGGAGCGTTGCACGGCTGCACAGCTGGCAGCGGTTTTGGGTTTTTGGGTCTGGGTTTTTGGGTTTTTGGGTTTTTGGGTTTTTGGGTTTTTGGGTTTTTGGGTTTTTGGGTTTTTGGGTTTTTGGGTTTTGGGTTTTTTGGGTTTTTGGGTTTGAGGGTTTGAGGGTTTTTGGGTTTTTGGGTTTTGGGTTTTTGGGTTTTTGGGTTTTTGGGTTCTAGGGCCTAGGGCTTTAGGGCTTACATAGAACCCTAAATCCTACAAGAGTTAATGGGGTTGTCTTTAGGTTTTAGGGTTTTAGGGCTTCGGGCTTATCGGCCTTAGAACCCGACATGCGATAAGAGTTGATATGATAGCTCATCAAGGCTTGGGGACCAAGGTCGCCTTATAGGCTACGCAACCCATTGGTGCCCTCTTGTCATTTCTGGGTTCTGGGCGGCCCGAAGGATGGTAGTATGGTTATTGGGCGACCCAGTACCCTGGAAGCTTTTTTTGGAAGCTTGAACCCTCAAGTGACTTTCTTCAGGTTACTCAAGTTGCTTTGGCCCTAAACCCTCAGACCAAAACCCCGACCAACCTACCAAGCCCTACTGGTACCCTAGGGGCAGAGTGCTTGTATCCACCCCAAACACTAAACCCCAAGCGCTAAGCCCAACTCTACGTCTCCTCTACC